ACTAGTGTACTGGTTAGGCGAGCATGTATATAGTTTCATAGATGTACCCGCAATAAATGGACACAGGTTTAGTCTTATACTTTCTGTCCACATACCTACAGTATAGTATTGTATGAGGCTACTCACTGTCAACCACAAATTACAACATCATCCACTCCTCATCACTCCGCAATGTGACTTCCGCATAGCTCATGACCACAACAACTTGTCCTGATCCCTCTCACGTCCATCCCAAAGAACTGTCTCCCATATTTGTGCACCACGCTTTGCTTCCTCCAGCGGGTATAAATATCGGCGTGGGCGTGTATCTAGCGACCAGCTGAGGCCAGAGAAAGTCAGAGAGAGGTGTGGTCATAGGGACGAGGATGTGCTTAGTCGTACTTGTAGACTTGATAAGACTTGGGTAGGGGTCAAACTCGTTGGGAGTGAAAAAATGACATGGCGCAGTATTTTGAATCATCGCCTCGTGGGCCAAATTTGATATTGCGAAATTTGACTAAACTTGGCTCTGGGAGAATGTTTCACTACCAGGTTCGTAGAGGACACCGCGTACAGGTGTTCAGTCTTGCCCTCCGGTGTAATCGCTTATTATACTTTGCGTAACTGGGATAGCCAAGAATCGCATCCGAATCGAAGTCGAAAGCAACCTCAAACACATCTCCATTTGACGACTTCTCGACAATGCCTCTCTCATCATTCTCATCTGAGTTCTCAACCCCTCTCTAATCACGCTTCATCTCGACCCAACGACCAATAAAAAAGTTGCTCCAATTTCAAACAGGAGCTTGCCCTATTAATTTACAGCCATCTCTTGCTATAGATTTACGACGCTTTTCATACCCGCAAGGAAGAAATCAAGTCGAAAAATAAAAAGTCTGGATCTTGGCTTATGGGGGACTGTTGCTCTAATAGGACAAATAACTTAAGGGAGGATAGGCGGCTGAGATGTGGAACGAGAGGAGGAACAGGTATTTGAAGACCGTGCTGAGACCGATATTTTCGAGGAGTTTTCAACTTTGGATTTTTTGTGGGCGCCAAGACAAAGATTTCGGTTAATCAGCTAGTAAGGCTTCTTTTGTCGATGAGTCAACAGCACTCCCCAGCGCCCTGGACGGCACAAAAGAAGTTTGGCTAAGTAACCATACATCAATCACGCACTGTCAAGACGTTTTTGACATTTCAGGGCGACCTTCGGGAAGGAGTTGGAAGGAGGCTAGAAAGGCAGAGTGTGAATTTCCCGAGGTACCCACAAGTATGCATCGCCCAGCTTGCCGGCCTCTTTGAACGCTTCAGAAGGGTCACTATATCTTCAGATTTAGTCCTAATGTCGGTATTAGGAGAGCTTCGCACCCAGTGGTTTTTGCGATTTTTCCCGGCTGCCGTACACCCGCAAATGGCCATCGTTTTGTTGGCTGGAGAGGGGAGATAATGAAGGGCAAAGGGCTCCTCTTAGTGTATGATCGAATGAGGACTTGTGAGGGGTGCTACTGTTCGAGTGGAGCTGTATGGGAGGCATAGGAGGGGACGTATTACTGGCATAGGTATTCTTGGCCTGTAGACAGAGGGGACCTGCATGTTCTACATAGTCATAGACTCAGACAGGGCAATAAAATGAATCGAAAAAAACATTGCGAACGTTTAGTTCCTGTCATGGGCTGAGTCATCAAGACAATGACTCAGCAACAGAGAGATGCGCCAGACTTAGTGCAAAACAAATTAAACTACCTTCTGACATATTCAGCTATTTAGCTACGATACATGATCAGTGCAATGTATACATGATGGATGACTCTTTTGACGGTAGAGACACTCATACTCTGGATTTCGTTTGCAATTACCACTATGAAGTATGCTCGCTTACACTAATAGTCGACTCTCCTCCATGAGTATCCACACAAGGAACGTCTCAAATCTTTTGATTATCTATACATGCTTTCGTCATCTGAGAAAGCTTAGACCGCGAGAAATGTGGTTGTGTTTTGCCGGAATCGAACCAGCGATTTCCTGTTTCGAGTGAGATATGTTTCTAACCATCTAGATTCCACTTGGGAGACTAGCATAGATGATGAATCACCGCACCGTCCATCCATGTCAGTGTTTTAATGTAGCCTGCACACTGTTTTCAACCTCGCTTAGGTGTAAAGTTTGTGTTCTGATTACATGATGGTATAACTTTCCCACAACCGAGATCAACACCATCCAAAATCCAACCAAATGATAATAATAACCAACTACGCCATCCAGCCTTCTTATGAGACCCCACCAAATATGGTTGCGATCGAAGATAATAAGTTTTTGTCTACTCCGCAATGAGTGCAGTTCGATCTGGCAGCCTAGATTTCTATAACATTGTCTCTAAGTTCACTATTAACCACCATCAAGTAATCATCATTCATAACACTCTACCGCTATCGCTTTCGCCATTGAGATTCATTCCTCACAACTAATGAATACTGGATTTAGTATCCAGTGAAGTTCTCTCATTTTATCACATCTTGATCTCGACGTGATATTTCTCACCAGCGCTATCCATAATTTGTAGTGACCAGACTGAAGATACCGATCGCCCAATTGGGTTTCATACTGAGAGTTTTGTATCTGACTACCAATGAATGCGACATGAACTATCTAGCAATTAACTTGCCAGCGCATCATTTCCAAACCAGGAGTTTAAAATTTGTTAAAATTATAGTTTCACCGAGGTGTGTGAGACGCGAAGGCTTTTGCTTCATTATTTCCCTGCAAAACGTGTAGCGGAAGCCCGTCCACATCCCCCTCATACGCGAAAGGAATCTCAGTATAATGAAACCTAATCCTTCATTCATTGATCATTCTGCCGACTAGCTTCAAGCAGTTCCCATCAGTGCTCTGCAGATATTTAAGTAGTAAGTCGGTCTGTTTAGTGGACAAAGGTTTTTGATACTCGGGAGCTATTTTAATGTTGCAGTTATTTCTAGTCGTAAATAAATCATTCAGATGTTGTAAAGAGATGCGCCTGGAGCCTGCCTCATCTTAACATATTTTTGCCAACAAAAATAATCGAACGACCTTAACTCAACTAGCATAATTTAAAACAAACCAGTTAACGTATCTTTGTTAATGTCCATTCGGTCATTCTCGCCACACACGCGGGCCCGAGGGTCTCATCACGTGTATGGCACTTTCAGAGCCCCACCTCTAACTTTTGCCCCGCCCAATACACTTCCTAGGACAAAATGTTGAAGTAGAATCCCACACCAGAACTCTAGCTTTTGACATTGATACTTGTCTTCTCTTACAGCAAAGTGCCAGATTTTCTGATCGTTGCCGCTTCAATTAATCCCTCCGCTCTATCTTAAGAGACATATAAATACCAAAGAAAAGAACGCCACGAGTCATGTCACAACTCGATGCCTTCTTTGGTCAGGTAGATTTTTGCTCAAACCACTTTATTGAGAGACTAAGGAAGGCTGTTGCTATTCCATCTATCTCGGCGGATGAAGAACGTCGGCCCGATGTAATTCGTATGGGATCATGGCTGGCTCAAGAGCTCACAGCACTAGGCGCAGCAGTAGAGCTAAGGCCACTAGGAAAACAACCGCACAAAGAACATCTAGAACTACCTCCGGTAGTAGTTGCGCGATATGGTAACGACAAAAATAAACGAACTATCCTAGTCTATGGGCACTATGATGTGCAGCCTGCCAGCAAAGAAGACGGCTGGGCCACAGAGCCCTTCGAGCTGACGGTTGATGACAAGGGAAGAATGTATGGAAGAGGTAGTACTGACGACAAGGGTCCTGTCTTGGGTTGGCTTAATGTGATTGAGGCACACCAGCTGGCTAAAGTCGATTTTCCTGTCAATCTTCTCATGTGCTTCGAGGGAATGGAAGAATATGGCTCAGAGGGTCTCGACGACTTTATTAGAAGTGAAGCGAAGCATTTCTTTGCTGATACAGATGCTGTTTGCATATCAGACAATTATTGGCTCGGAACTGAGAAGCCATGTCTTACATATGGCCTCCGTGGATGTAGCTACTATTCTATTGAGATATCTGGGCCAGGCCAAGATCTGCACAGTGGTGTATTTGGCGGAACTTCCCAGGAACCTATGACTGACTTGGTGCGAGTGCTCGGTAGCCTGGTTGAAACTAATGGCAACATTCGAATTCCTGGTATTGCCGATTTAGTTGCACCATTAACTGATGAAGAGCGGGCGCTATATGGTGATATTGCCTTCTCCATGGAAGATCTCTATGAATCGCTTGGGAGTCAGACCTCAATCTATGAAAATAAAGAGGAAACCCTAATGGCGCGATGGAGATACCCATCCCTATCAATTCACGGGATTGAAGGTGCCTTTTCGCAGCCAGGGGCGAAGACTGTGATTCCAGCAAAAGTTATTGGGAAATTTTCGATTCGTACAGTTCCAAATATGGAGCCTGAGGATATTGATAAGCTGGTTTTCAAATATGTCGAGGAGCAATTTAGTCTGTTGAAAAGCAAGAATAGGATGAATTGTACTCTACAGCATGCTGGAAAGTGGTGGGTTGCTAGCCCAAATCATTGGAACTTCAGTGCTGCTAGCAAGGCTGTCGAAAGGGTCTGGGGAATAAAGCCAGATCTGACACGAGAAGGTGGAAGGTAGGAGAGTTATCCCTTACAAGTTTTCAACTGACTTTTTTTGAGTATTCCCGTTACGTTGACCTTTGAACAAGCAATTGGTAAGAACGTACTACTGCTTCCAATGGGAAGTTCCACCGATGCTGCCCATTCCATCAACGAAAAGCTCGACAAGCGAAACTACATAACAGGTACAAAGTTACTAGGAGCGTATTTGCATCACGTTGCGGAAGAACCAATCACGACAAATTGAAGGTATACTGCGGCTAAAGATTTACTTCAAAGCCTGCTTGTCACAAAAATTTGTGGGCAATTACATGACAAACTTTGTACTCATTATAGCAAATAATTATTGTACTTTGATTATCTATCACATCACCTGATTATACAGGTGTTGTTTAAGTACGCTGGAAGAGATATACATATGCAAATCTTTTCATTTCCTCCGCGTCAAGTGCCTGAACTACTTTCTCATCATTATAAAGCACCCAGGCGTGTGATTGAGATTCTGGAATTTGACGCCGGACAAATGCGACATAATGCCTGGGAATAGTATTAGTTATTTTCATAAGCGTAACACTGGATAACATACCCAGAATGAGTGCTAGCTCCTTTATGACATATAATTGAATGAAGTTGAAATTGAGCTGGTAGATCGCCACATCTAGCTTCTAAATTTTCAATAGCGGTCGTCCCAGGATCAGTTCCAGGTTGGGAAAGTTCAGTTTCTCCTGTGTCTTCTGGATGACTAAATAACCATTCGACAGCCCTCTCTAAACTATCACTTGTTTCACACAAAGCCTTGCGGGCTTGCTGTTGACTAAATCCCATGGCTGCCAGAGCCTCAATCTTCTCAGAATCTGGCTCACCCAAGTCTCTTAAAGGCTCGAAATGCTCGAGTTCAAGAGGTAAATCAATATCTGCATCGTCCAGATGAGCAAATAGCCATTCCATTGCCGCGGCTACATCAGAATTCCCAGTGGCATGAAGCGCCCTTTCGCAACGGTTGCGTGAGAATCCCATACTTTCTAACTGCTGTAAACTTTCTTCATTAGGAGTAAAAGTCGGCCTGACTTCTTCAACGTCAGTTAACAGTTCCTCACATGGCTGAAGCCCATAAGACTTGTATTCATCCAAGAGAAATGGCTCGTCGCCAACAACAACAGGTACATCAACTTTTGTTGGTACCCAATTTAAAATTACAAAGCGCCTAGCATTGATCATGAGCACTTCAGGAAAAGTCTTAAATAAGGACCTCTTCGAAAAGCCACTATTGCTACCACATGAAGAGCAAGTGAGCTCAACGATCTCTTCGGACGTGAAGCTATCTAGGCACTGCTTTAATAAAACAGGTTCATAAACATCGGCGTTGTCCTTTCCACTACTTGTGGATCCAAAGGATGATGTGATTTTTCGTACAGGAACCGGTATAGAAATATTGTCTTGCTCATCACGTCGATATCGCACTTTCTTGCAATTAAGGCACTGCAAACGCTGCTCCATGATAAAGCGAAAAGCCTTGACTGGGTCTTCAAGCGGGGTTTTGTGAGGAGAGCGCGTAATGAGTTTAAAAAGATGAATAATAAATTCGAATGCATCTTGCTGCCGCATCGTACAAAATTCCGGGTGGTTTTTCCCTACAAGAGATTTCAGCATCGAGGGAGCAAGGCCCTTTTGGTATGTAGAGTCACTAATGGTATGGGAGTGAATACTCGGGTGCGAATATCGACCTGATAGTAGACCATCTCCCAGCTTTCGGAGTTGAGTCTCTAAGTCCTGAGCTGGTTCCTGCACAAAATGGGTGTCTTTCGGTAGGAAATAGCGTTTTTGAAATTGCGGTAATGCAAAGAGGCATTGGAGACTACTGGCTAGGTAGCAACTATTACCTAGGTTTTTAAGTCCCGTGAAACCCTCTCCATATAATCTCTTGAGCTCGTGCCCATGATCATCAGTCATAGAAAATTCCCAGCGTAGATTCTCATCAATCTGCATCTCGGTCAAACTTTTTTCAGTTTTCCGGCGTTCTGCCAGAACGATTCCCCAATTCTCAAGATGGTCACCAAGGTTATCATCAATTCGCTCTTCATCGCAGGAATAGCAATAAACATCAGCGGTACCTTCAGGAGTTATTGAGCCAAGTTTGACAGCTACTGCATGACCAGATTGGTTTTTATGCTCCAAACCGTGAGAATGTCCCTTGAGGCCCCCAAACTGGGCTCTTCCGCAACCTAAATTCCCGCATTGTAAACATAGCCAGAGATTTTCATGCAAATCACAAAGAGAGCAAATTCCTAGATCCTGTGACTGTATCTGCCTCGCCGACTCTTGAACTAAGGTGAGTATGTGTTCGCAAGTAGTGTACACCTGCTCCCATGCCTTTACTTCCTCGTTTCTGGAAAAAGAGTTAGCCTCCATGATACCCTGTGTAACCGCTGCTAGTCTACTAGCTGTTTTATCAACATTTTCTAGGTTGCAGGTGAAGCACTTGACAAATGTTTTGTATTCATAACGGTCGGCCTCTGTTTCTGCTGCTATTGCAATTTTAGAGATTTTCTGAGGAGGCTCATCACGCTGCAAGTTACGACGTGATCTACGAACGTTAAAAGCTAGAGGGTGATTGAGGCAGGTAGAATGGAGCATAGAATGATTTTTTTCTCCTGTGCAACCTCCATTGAAGCAATGAAGGCATACATCTAGGCCACTTGGATCGTCCTTAGAATTTGAATTAGCCATTTAATCCTTAGGTAAATGGCTTTTGTAACAGTTAAATCTTACTACTGAATCAAAGCACTGTGTGCAATCTTCTTTATATACAGCTTGACTCGGACCCGGAGGACGTAATTCTACCAGTTCACGTTAGAGTTGTATTCGACTTTTTTCACAGAGCTAACAAGCATACCAAACTCATCAACGTGCTTGCATGCCATCTCGTTTTATATTATCTTTGTTTGGCGCGAGGGAAAATGGATGATTCGGTATAGATAAATTATAGTCTCGTAGGACGGAGGCCTTTTCTGTTAATTGATGGTTTCGGATCTTAAGTATTCCGAGGTATCATGATTACAGTATGAATGCATTGAATTGATTCACAGAATTTTTGTCTTTGTAAGATGTTATCAGATTCGTACCCCTGGTTCGCTTCCCAAGGTAATTGCATTCGTCAAGTGCCAATATTTCGCGAGTCTGCCCCGACCACAACTTCACCCCACCTCAACTTCAACATAGCACAACTGACAAAAATATACAAGATGAATATTTCTAAAACAACCCAAAAACTTGGTTCTATCTTGAAGCAAAGTCGTCAGAGCACATTTCGATCATCGTTCTCTGGTGCAGGAAAGATATCATCTGCTCATGGAGTACAACATACCTTGCTCTGCATTAACTCACCTACGAACGCCATCATTAGACGACAATATCACGAAAAAGTACTTGATCATTATTCTCGACCTCGAAATGTTGGAAGCATGTCCAAAACCGACGCAGATGTCGGCACCGGACTAGTGGGAGCGCCCGCATGCGGCGATGTTATGAAATTACAGATAAGGGTTGATCCTGCCACGAAAAAGATTTCAGACGTCAAATTCAAAACTTTTGGATGTGGATCAGCTATTGCTTCCTCATCATACCTTACTGAATTAGTGAGAGGAATGACGCTTGATGAGGCAGGTCGAGTTAGGAATACAGAAATTGCAAAAGAACTATGTCTTCCTCCAGTCAAACGTAAGAGTAAAATCCGATGAATATGACATCAAACTAATTTTTCAAGTTCATTGTTCTATGTTAGCGGAGGATGCTATCAAGTCTGCAATCTCTAACTACTACACTAAGAATCCAAATGCGTCCCCGACTAATCTTGGTGGAACCAGCTCGAAACTTCCACAAATCGAAAGAGAAAACCGGGTAGATCCAGCACTATAGTAATGATTTGGATGCAGTACACCTTGTTCAGATATGAGTTTCATAGCATTAGCATTCAAACTGCATGTAATAGCTTAAGAGAAGATTGTGAGTAAATTAATTTATTATTGGATCGAATACTATTAGATATCTATTTTAAGTTCTTACTGTGGTTTCTAACCAAATTGTTGCGGTGCGAAGGTGTCTTGTCTCTTCCCGCTGTACAATTGTTGCACTTATCAATCGTGGTTGATTTATGACGACATCGACGCTGTTATTAGCTAAGCCACTACGTATATGATGACGACAAAATTACGTACTCTCTTTTCAAGTTCCCATTTAGTCGTTAATACAGATGTGTGGGAATTTATGACTTTCTAACAAATTGGACTCTTCACTGGCCCAGGCCAGAACTTGTACAGTGCTTCTTGACTCTTTAATTACTTTAAAGATCATTGATACATTACCGGTGGTAAATAGCCATTCAGCTCAGTGTTACCCGCGATATTCAGCCACTGTCGGAATACTTGAGTGGTATCTATATGACAAGCTTTCTGAAGTAGTAATAACTATTATTGGTTAACATGTCTCTGCATCCTTTTCTGATAAATTAAAGGAAACACGTATATACAGCATTTTTACATCTCTCATGACACCATTCCTAAACAGGCAACTCATTACTCATCAACATGATTAGTCATCGTTCCTAAGATAATACATGAAAGGTCATGAAGATCTTTTCATTATTCGACAATCGCCTTTTTCATGAAACCTTCTAACCAAAAAAAATGGTAGCAATACAAACTGCGTGCGCGGGAAAAAGTCTTCAAAACCTTGTAGCCCCAACCAGGCGAGGCCTAGACATCGGAACCACATGAGGTGTTCATATTCATCTACATCTCCCTTCTTTGTAACAGTCGAGGCCGACTTGATCCAATCCATCATCACCGTATCGGATGCAAGGTACGGTCCGGAAACTCGTCGGATGGCTGTTCCTTCATGATCAGGAGTTGCTGACGAGAAGGACTTCGATCCTACCATCTGATCTAATCGTGGTTAGCTTCATGATAATGGTGATAGGGGAATGTGTTGAAGGACGAAGACGATACAGACCGCGAAAACGATTGGGAATCTTCTCGAAGTGAGGACTTTGTCACTCAATCTCGACTCTGCGTACTCTACAGTGAGAGCTGGAGGTTCGTAGGGGACACCACTAACAGGTGTTGACAATAGTCACCCCGCAACGCTGTCAGATCTTAGTAGATAATTTAATATCGGCACCCGAAGTCGAAAAGACAGATCTTTAACATGGATATAAGATAAATAGAACTCATAGATAATATCAAGCCAAGGATTGTTACGTTTTTGCAAGGAATAGAGTCAAGGTTCTGGATGTTCTATAACGATGAGTATCATTTCGCGCGTCATATATTAGTCTGAGGGTGTAAGAGATGCTGTATGAGCAAAGACAAAGTTGGAGCATATCAAAGAGCATGTGTATGACCAAATTACTGACCAAATTTTTTACTTATTTGTTGTCCTGTGTGCGTCTTTGACTATGTAGGACATGCAGGTCCTCTCTGCCTACAGGCTAAGGATACCTTTGCCAGTAGTATACCCCCTGCTTTGCCTCCCATACAGCTCCACTCGAATAGTACTACTCCTCAGAAGCCCTCATTCGATCATATACTTAGAGGAGTCCTCTATCCCTCGTTATCTCCACTCTCCAGCCAACAAAACGATGGCCATTTGTGGGTGTATGGCAGCCGGGAAAATTCGCAAAAACCACTGGGTGCGAAGCTCTCCTAATACCGACATTAGGACTAAATCTGAAGATATAGTGACCCTTCTGAAGCGTTCAAAGAGGCCGGCAAGCTGGGCGATGCATACTTGTGGGTACCTCGGGAAATTCACACTCTGCCTTTCTAGCCTCCTTCCAACTCCTTCCCGAAGGTCGCCCTGAAATGTCAAAAAAGTCTTGAAAGAGCATGATTGATGTGTGGTAGCTTAGACCAACTTATCTTGTGCCGTCCAGGGCGCTGGGGAGCGCCGTTGACTCATCGACAATAGAAGTCCACCTGGCTAATTAGCTGAAATCTCGCTCTTGGCGTCCACAAACGTTCCAAATTCGAAGATATCTCGAAAATATCAATCCTATTATTCTCACAGGTGGTCTCTTCCTTATATCATTCCACGCCCCAGTCACCTGTCCTTCTTAGAGATGTATATGTTGGAAATATCGCGCAATGAAATGGCCGCAACATTTATGGAACGAAAGTAGAAGTTGACTAAAAGAGTGTCATGTTCGGATTACAGCTAAAAGTGTGGAAAGTGTGCGCTACAAGTACAAGTGGAGGAGGGCAAGACTGAGTACCTGCTCGCGGCGTGCTCTATGAATCTGGCAGTGAAATATTCTCCCAGAGCCAATTTCAGTCAAGCCTCGCAAGACCAAACAAGTTGGCCCACGAGGCAATGATTCATATTACTCCACCACGTCATTTTTCCGCTCCCAACGAGTTTGACTTCTACCTAAGTCTCATCAAGTTTACAAGTACGACCTAGTACATCCTCATTCCTATGATCACACCTCTCTTCGACCTTCTCTGGCCTCAGTTGACCACCAAATACAGGCCCACGCCGATATTTTTACCCGACGGAGGAAGCAAAGTGAGGCTCACAAATCTGAAAGACAGTTCTTTGAGATGGACGTGAGAGGGATCAGGACAAGTTTACAAGATGATGCAAAGGAAGGACTTAATATCGACGGGCGTAAAATTCTGAAGTTTGGCAAGGAGTTTTACGAATTGAGCTTTGTGCGCGCCAAGAATTCGCTTGTGAGAGTGCAGCTGACACTCAAGAAAAACAAGCAAACGATGGAAGGTGTTGCGGTCCACCTCTTGGTGGTATTATCTGGTATGGTTTGAGTAGCCTGGGCATCTACTCCACATGGAAAAGAGACATCTCAGATTACATTTCGCGCGGAGAAAAGTAAATGGATGACGGAGGCATATCTGGATAACTCAGGGTTTTTGAGACGTTCCCCTGGGTGGGTATTCACGGATGAGGGTTGACTTGGGGTGAAAAAAAAGCCGCCATAACTTCGCAGTGGTACTTACAAATGAAGTCCGAGGTATGAATGCTCTAGTTTTATAGAGTCATATGCTCTCTACTTTTTCTCTGGCAATGCGTCTAACGGCTGCTAAGCCTAAGAATTCTTGTAGCCTACGCTGGCTAGCGCAGGCAATGAGATCAAGGGAATCTTCGGGAAGGATCTCGAGATACACGGAGGTTAGAAGATTCTTAATAAACCTTCTGGAAGCATACTGAAGGTACATGAGGATGACAGACACATCGAGAGTCTTCCAGGGAATCTTCGAAGATTCCATATTTTTCTAGTTATAGGGGGAACCTTATAGGAGGGGAGTATCTCAGAGTGTATATATAATTGTAGTCTAGCTACAGGAATCCTCTTTTTAGAGAATTATAAGTAATATACTGTATTTACAAGATAGCCTAAGCATTCTGTACTGAAACCGTGACAGTCATGCAGATCCTTCAATGCCCATTGAATTGAATTGAATTAGTCTCGTTTAACGTCCTGTACGGTATCTATATACAGAACCATGAAGACGGCAAGCCGCTTTGGTAAGGGAAAAATTTTTCAACAAAACAAAACCCGATGTCCCGCCACTCTGAGCCGACCTGGCTTAATGCTGAGGACGTTCCTTTCAACCACGATTTTATAAAAATTCCCCAGTATTCGTTAACTCCCCCTTCATTCAGACTAACGTTATGAAAAATTGAAAAGAGAAAGCGCCTCCTCACTCGGCGTTAGTCGTCGAAGTGTCCGAAGAGTTAGCCCTGATGTTGGTGCTGTTGTGGCGGGGATTGTTGATGCCACTGGGGCTTCGACTAACTTGCGTGGTCGTCCCGGCCCTCTTTTGATTCCTTCAGCCTTCTTACTGGTGACCAAAGTAAATCCCTGATCATCAGTTGGCCTGACTGTTTTTGTTGGCGCCACCGTAGATTTTTCGTTCCATATTTCCGCCGTTCTTGACAACAGCTCCATCCGAGTCTTCTCCACACTTCCCTTGTAGACCTGGTAGTTCCAACACGCTGCTTTCTACCACGAACGATTCTCCTTGCCGCAGTTCGCACAAGAAACCCTTTTCCTCGGACAGTCCCGAGTTTGGTGAGCGCCAGCGCACTCACCGCACGACGCCTGCGTGTGTCCCCACTGACTGCAGTTGTAACACTGCTTTGGCTGGAACTGTGGTGACCACACCTGCGCGGTGTAGAGCATGGCGTTCATCACAAGGCCGTTTCGGACCACTTCCGTCTGCATTACCTCCGATGGGAGGCTTACCACAATTAATCCACGAGTGCGGCCATTTTTCTTTGACCGCTGGTGTTCCTTTCCGTCGTGTAACCACTTTATTTGACTAATGACTAAGCCTGGAATCCGTGCCTTCGTAGCCGTCTCTATCTCCCTGATGATGGCAAAATTGTTGGCATCTCAGCCCCCTTCAATTCATGTCCGCACTGGGTCACCGTTGACTTCGACTGGAAAATCTTGTCGCAGAATTTTGAATTCTGTTGGTTGTCACATATTTAGCGCCGCGTCTCTCTGGGACGCCGACTGGACAAATACCTCAGTACCGTTGCTCCGCGTTTGACGAATTGCGTATGCACCTTGTGTATGCTCTTTTGCCTTTGAAAGCAGCTCTTGTGGCTGCAAGTTTTGGGCGCCCTCGATTCTTATTCGTACCGCTGTTTTTGTCATTTGGGGAGCCACGACCGACGCGTAACTCCTTGCTATCGGCGCGCCCGAAACCGCTGCTGGAGCAGTTTTCAGAGCGGGATCCGCGAGGCTTTTCTTTACGACTTCCTCTAAAGCCATCATCCTCTCCTCGATAGAAGACTTCTTCTGGGACATTTCCGTCCAGGCCCATTTGTGCGCGTTGAAGGCCTTGACAGCCTCGTTCACGTCCTCCATTGATGGTAGGTCCTCATCATCCATACCTCCCATCACGATTAGTCTAACTTGTTTTAGTATTTTCCCCAGGATTTCGAGGTTTCTATCCTTTGGAGCTGTCTGCGCTCCGCTGCCGTTGTTGGTTGAGGCCATTGTCGCATTTTGCGACGCGTCGAAACCGCTAGATTTACCCACACCAGCACCCACACTCGCCATGTTGGAGCACGGAAAGCGAAAATACGAAAGGAGGGTAATTTAGATGAAATAATGATGATTACGATAACAAATTGAAGATACGGGCAGCGTGGAAGGCTGCGCAGCTTTCTGGCAAAAATGATGGTTTTCCTTCAGTGCCCTTGGGGAAATATTAAAAATATATAACTGAGGAAATGTTAATTAGGCTTTAAATAGCTTACAGCACATCTTCATTGTTAAGGACTCAGTAGGGACCTTAATTTAATTAGTTTCTATTCTGTATTAATTCAAACTCCTTGAATTGTGGAGTCCAGAGCTAAGCCGGGCGCTTATCGACGGAAGTAGCCGTAGAAGGATTACCGTATTTGTTTTTTCTGACATTTGAGCATTAGAACACGACATGCCGATCCTGCTGGGTTCGGTAATGAACTGTTCTAGCCAACCATTATTTTGCAAATGGAGATAACTTATACCCTGTATCGGTTTCCCATGTCGCTGTATGTGGATGGGTCTGCACGGGCCATGTTATTTAGATTAAATGATATTCGACGATTGAGATTGAGGCACTGACCTCTATGTCTTGTCATCTTGAATCTAAGAGCACGTGGCACAGTTAGATCCCTTCTACAGGGCGATGGATGTGAGAAAATTTTAAATTACTTTATCCATTTCTTGATGAAAGGGACTATCACCCTTCGTAACACGATGTTTGGTACACCGCTGGCAGTCTTCCTTAACCTAACAGCCTTGCGTATACTCCCTAACGGCAGCTTTAGAATGATGACGAAAAATCGTTAGAGATACTGACGTGTGAATCAATGCGAAAATTTTTGTTGAGTTGGAACTAGTATGATACATCAAATTATCTTGTGGCACCATTTTTAATGATTAATATTCTTCCTAATGCCGTGTCTGTCGGTCGAATGGATAGCACAACAAGCCTCTAGCTACCCTGACATACTTGCATCATCGCTTCGATTATAGAGCTGCGCGATGATGCTCTGCCCTTGCTTACTTTTACCCAGCGATCTCCCGCTGTAAACGGGGTAGGGCATCATGCTACCTAGCACTTGCTAGGAACGGCCCGGATGGCTTGCTACAGCATCATCCGACCTCGATGCTATTAAGGAAGCCACATGCTTTCCTATCATTATTCCGCATTATCATTTTTCCCGAAGGAACTATTGGATGGAGCTAGGCGAGCGCGTTATCCACTCTTATGAGCGAGGTATCTAAAGTGAGAGGGGTAGGAGAATATTTATTATAACAGGCATAGGTCCCCTATGCCTGTTAAAAGAGACCGATGTCTTGTGTAGAGTCTTAAACCTAAATAGGATAGTGAGATATCGAACCAAATAGGATGGGGGTCCATTTGCTTAGGCTTCGCATAAGGACCTGCAGTTAATGGAAGCCGAGGTTGATAGGTGATCTGGTTAATTTGGTATAACGAGCGAGTCCAAGAGGGGATTGCTTTGCTTGGCATCGGCGGGGGTCAGGAGCTCCTGAGTACATAAGCACCACCGCCTGGCTTAGCCCCATTTGATCCACGTCATCATAATCCCTTCATCATTCCATTCCATCTACGTTTATTTCTGTTTAGAAAGAATATATTGACAATTCTTGTGCGGCGTTGCTCTTTATACGCTCTCGACAACAATGTACCTCCCATGAGTGTTCCATGTAGTTTTACCATCCCTGTTTGGACCGCACAGATATTAGTCTCAGAGATGGTATGTCGTCAGAAGCCAAGCCAGCTATCGGTCGACGCACTGTCTGTGATCATTGTCGACGAAGACGTAGGTCATTTCATTATTCCAATCACACGCACGGCGACACTTTCCTGTAGCTCGGAACCACTAGAAGCCTATCATCAACTTCCTGAGATACCGAAAAACCAAAGTTAAGCTGACCGCTCGAGTACAGTGCACTGACTTGCGACAGGAATCCGCTGTGGTAGGTCAACTCTACCGCATTTTCTACCATTACAGACTCTGATAACAATATGAGATGGCGGCTATCCATGTAACCAGTGTGCAGCGGTCTCTTTGAATTGCAAGAGAGAGCATGTGCCGAAGAAGAGGGGTCCTAAGATTGGAAGTGGCCGCGTGGTAAACGAGTTGCGAACCCAAAAAGAAGTCGGTACTAATTCAAACCTTTTTGTGTAAGCTTTAAGATTTACTTTCTTCTTTTCATCAATATTTTCTTGCCTAATTCACACTCCGTTCTCCCTCATAAGTTTCAAGCCTATTTGATAAAATTCTCGATCACGTGCTTGGAGCGTCCACAAAGCCCTCAGCACCCCACAAAACGCTCACCAGCAATATGTTCGTGTTATACTAAATAGTCTGGGTAGATCCGACCAAGGAGTCCTAAACCAAACTGAAAGTTCATCCGTATCCGATCTTCAGTCATGTCAATCTCTCACTACCGATTCTACAGAGACATCACTTTTGTTTGCTTCAGATCAGTTAAGACCCACAGCACCTGGTTATTTTCACCTTATACCGACATGTATCGATCTTTTCATGGAGCATATTTATCCTATTATGCCGCTAGTATATATGCCAGCCCTCAGAGAGTCTATATCCCGACCACTTGAGATGGACGAAAAGAATCTTATTTATTCTTTGTGTGCCCTTACTTCAACACACATGTCAGGAAAAATAATAGTAGCCCCAGGCCCACAATCCTGGGATACTGCCGGGCGTTTCTTTTTGGATCAATGTATTTCAGTGCGACAATCTTACGATTTTGTAGAAGATAAATCACTTTCGGCAGTCATATCATCTTATTTCGTCTCAACAGCCTTTTTTGAGCTGAACCAGAACCGAAAATCATGGTACTATCTTCGGGAAGCCTTGACCATGGGTCAAGATCTAGGATTCCATGATGAAAGCTCATATGTAGATTTATCACCCGAAGAAGCACTATGTCATCGCCGTACCTTCTGGATCTTATATGTAACAGAAAGGTATGTAAGCTTTGATCCTTCCACAAAAAACCTTCCATAATACTAGACAGGTCCTTCGCTATACTCCGAAATAAGCCTCTTACTCTTTCAAAGGCCCCTAAATTTCCTACCACACTTCATGAATACGAAGCGCCAGAAATTCACTCCGGCTTTATGCACCTCATCAATACTTATCATCTTCTCGATGCTGCCTTTGTAGATACATGGAATGAATGTACACAAGCACCTACTAGTACTACAACTTATACTCTTCTTCAGGAACGGCTGAACATCGCCCATCCAATCTCAATGGCTCTAACAAGTATACAGAGAGCTGATATTCTCGTGACGCAACAATGGTTACGGCTTATAGTATGGCAGTCTTCAATGCGACAAGGCTTACTCTCTTCAGCTTCTGCCGATGAGTCTATGACGTTTCATTACCCGTTTCGTATTGCACATTCACTACTAACAGCAATTTCCTCACTTCCGTCCACAGCAGTTGATGTACATGGCATGGGTATATTTGAAAAGATATTTGAGATTGCTAATACCACGCTTGATGTTATACAAGCATGTGGCACTGGATCTGAGATGGTAAAATATGGTATTTGTCAGGACCCGTTTGGTGTGTTTGTACGGACTCTTTCCTCCACGCCAAAGTCTCAGAAACAATACGCGAATTTACTTCTGGAGAAAGTAGCCGAGAAGCCAGAAATCGCTCGCCTTTCTAGTGGCCTTTGGAGCAGTAATTTAACGCTACCCTGCTTGGCAGATGGTCTTCAGGAAAGCCTCACTATCGTCGAAAATGATGATGCTGCTTCAGGGTCGGCAGGGGTGCAGGTATGGAAGGGTAGCATTATTGGCGAGGTATGTGAGGATGTTAAAGTTCAAATGCCTAAAGATTATAGACCCATCGATGATTCAGAGATTTCAACCTTTGATCACGCCGAAGGCAGAAAGTCTTCGTGGGAGACCAACATCAGCCCAAAAGCTCTCGAGGATTTTGACGAGGAAATAGGGAAGTTAAATGTCACGTGACTGTCCGGCTTTGAGCTACTACAGCAACAGAAACATGCATAAGGCCACAGTGAAATCTCAAGCTATCACGTTATTCATTTGATACGAACCCAATCTGCGTTGTATAGCTGAGTGTGTTATCACCGAATTGTGAAAGATGTACATCTCTGCTAATATAGGCTATATCGAGGTGAGTGGATCTCTCTAGTAGGAATGGAGCATTTCTCCACCTAGGGCGCGAAATAGCTAATCTCAATTCATCAATAGATTCCGGGCTAGCCGTCATGCGTTGCCAAGCTGCTGAGTAACGAAGGCATGTCTTAATACTGAAATTTCTCCTTTCTCGGAGGCGTATTGTGAGGCAAGGCGATTTATTTGTATATACCCAGAAGAATTTTGAAAGTTGTAAAGCGATTAGGTTTAGAAAATTTATGGAAGAAATCTAGCATGTTATTGGATTACACGAATTACAAGGGTGCCATTGGGTCAGATCAGTTCAAGTAATAGAATCGCATACTTAGATCATGTAGGAATTGACGCACTACCTTGCATACATTGGTTCTCATGAGTCAATAGATTAGTAGTTGCCAAGATTTACCAGAATATATTGCATAATATCGCAACCAGCAACGTAATATCTGTTGCCCAGCGGTTCCTAGCTAGAATAACACAGGCAAGGTCGCTTGCGCAGACGACCGCTCAACGCAGAAGATGAGTAACATATTAGTCACGCCATGTGCGGATCGCTACTACAGTTAGACCCCTGTTAAAACGATCATGGTTGAGGCGATATTGCCGTTTTTACGCTACATTCTCTGTTGCGGGCTTCGCACCCATACATTTACCGGTTACTCGATTATAGTTCTTCAACCTCCGAATATCGTCTTGACCAGGTTTTTTTTGCTAGATTGGTGCTAACAATGCCGCCAAAAAAGGGAATTTCTGTGGAGCAACGACGTGCTCTGCGACGATGACAGCACCGTCAGGTCCCAAAACCAACACAAAAATAGTGCGCTGAGTAGTGCTTTGCTGACTACGGTCATCGATTAAGCAATTCCATAGTCTCCGAGTCCTCGAGCAATACCTTTGCGAAACTCAACGAAGCTAGAAGTACTACTGCGCTACGATAGCGAGCTGGAAACTAGCCTGGCCTTGAAAGTATTCTCCTGGCGTGGCAAATACGAGTTGAATAAGGAGGAGGGATCACAGCTGGTGATTTGCTTCGTGAGAAGGCAAAGCAGATCTGGACACAATTACCACAGCACGCTAGCCAACCGTGCCCTGAGTTCAGCGCTCGCTGGCTTGAGAATTTCAAGATACGAAACCATAATCAGAATCGGGTACGACACGGTGAAGTTGGTTCAATTCCAGCGACTGCCGAAGCCGAAATAAAAGCTTTATAGACAATTGCAGGAGAGTTTGAGGAAGAAAAAAATATATAATATGGACGAGTCAGGTCTCTTTTGGAAAATACAACCTTCACGTGGGCTATTGTCACAATCCCGACTCGGGCTCAAGAAAAACAAGGACCGAGTTTCTCTCTGTTTTTGTACGAATGCTACAGGTTCTGTCCGACTTCCTATTTGGATTATTGGCGAATATAAGACAACCCGGGACTTGAAAAACGTTAGTATTCAGACGCTGGGTGGCAAGTGGAGATGGAATTCCAAAGCATGGATTAACACAGCAATTATGGGCGAATGGCTTCAAGAATTCTATCGCCATGTTGGAAATGCCCGTGATGTAGTCTTGACAATGGATAATTTTTCTGCTCATTATTCTGCCGTTGAATTACACCTTCCATCCAATGGACATGACACGCATGGAGGACATCTAGAATACAAGTTCCTCCATTCTCCAGCAAAGCCTATCCGGTGCCTGACTTTTCCAAATACGTGCCTTACGCTAGTTACATCGGGTCGAATAGGTAGGAACGCATTCACCGTGATCCTAAGACCATATATTGAGGGAAAACCTTCGTGGGAAGACCTCAATAATTCCTCCTGTACTCTTTCACGACGAGCAGCCGTAGTCCTCCCTTTAACAGGCCGTGTAGCAATTCAACCTACCACTTCTAGAAAGCACATCCAGCACCCGACCAACTGTACCAACAGCCTTTTGAAAATCACATATCGTTCTTCGAAGGGAATGTGATGCTTGACGAGGCAATTATTTTACAAGAGGTGATAGGTCAACATTTGGGAGTAAATCAAGACGAATAAGAAGACGTAGTACAAGACGAACAGCTTTTGCGGATAGCAAAAGAGGCCGAAATGGCTCTGGAAGGGTTGATTGAGTATACTGAGAGTCAAGATTCTCTTAAATCGAGCTATTTGAGAGTGTTAGGGCGATTGGAGACGCCAATTGGGAGTACAAGAGGCATCCAAGGTACATAGTAGCCGAGATAGCTTGATTAGATAATCATATCCATTTCTGCGGTATCCTCTCCATGACGATATTTTTCACGGCCCCGATTACATCGTCTTAACAGGGTTCTTACTGTACCACGGTCCAGGATTAAAGGCAGTAACTCACACCCTGTCATTTCCATGTCCGAAAGATGAATGGATTACACGAAAAACTTCAGGATGCCTTATTTTACTGCATGCGAGCAGGCAGTTGTCTACTTCGCGAAAGATAGCTAAGGCGAATTCTTGTGGTGAATTGATGATTCGATGGCTATTTTATTTTATTGTCCTGCCTGAATCTATGACTATGTAGGACATGCAGGTCCTCTCTGCCTATAGGCTAAGGATACCTTTGCCAGTAGTATACCCCCTGCTTTGCCTCCCATACAGCTCCACTCGAATAGTACTACTCCTCAGAAGCCCTCATTCGATCATATACTTAGAGGAGTCCTCTACCCCTCGTTATCTCCACTCTCCAGCCAACAAAACGATGGCCATTTGTGGGTGTATGGCAGCCGGGAAAATTCGCAAAAACCACTGGGTGCGAAGCTCTCCTAATACCGACATTAGGACTAAATCTGAAGATATAGTGACCCTTCTGAAGCGTTCAAAGAGGCCGGCAAGCTGGGCGATGCATACCTGTGGGTACCTCGGGAAATTCACACTCTGCCTTTCTAGCCTCCTTCCAACTCCTTCCCGAAGGTCGCCCTGAAATGTCAAAAAAGTCTTGAAAGAGCATGATTGATGTGTGGTAGCTTAGACCAACTTATCTTGTGCCGTCCAGGGCGCTGGGGAGCGCCGTTGACTCATCGACAATAGAAGTTCACCTGGCTAATTAGCTGAAATCTCGCTCTTGGCGTCCACAAACGTTCCAAATTCGAAGATATCTCGAAAATATCAATCCTATTATTCTCACAGGTGGTCTCTTCCTTATATCATTCCACGCCCCAGTCACCTATCCTTCCTCGAGATGTATAACCCCATTAGAGTAGCAGTCCCCAATAAACTGAGACCCCAACTTTGTATACCATAATTTAATCTTCTCCTTGCGGGTATACGTAGCGTTGTTAATTTGCAGTGGATGATGATCGGTAAAAAATTAGACAAGCTCCTGTTTGCGGTAGGAGTAACGCCTTTATCAGTCGTTGAAGCGAGGTGGTGTGTGGAGAGATTAAGCTAGAGGACTCTCGTAAGAATGACAAGATCGACATGGTTGAGAAGTGGCCGATTATAGATGTGTCTATGTTTGCTTTCGACTTCGATTCGGATGCGATTCTCCTTAGCTATCCCAGATATGCAGAGCATAATAAGCGATTACACCGGCATCACTGGAAGGTGAATAATTCGACTTTGCCAGCAATGATTTAATGGTAAATCTGGTGAAGGAAGCTGCACACTGCTGAATACCGAATAACCCTAAGATCTTTGCTAAGCATGAATCAAAATTTGGCGGACATATCAAGGCTGGTTTCCGCATGTCGCGCGGCTCGCACCAATTTGATGATGATGAGAATAGATTTGCGATTCTCTAGCAAAATCAAGGTGCATTGGAGAACTGCTATGGTCAGATGTAGCTAGCAGCGGGCCGAGCGGGACTCTCTAAGTAAGCAGACCAGCTGTAAGTAGCGAACGAGCTAGCGCCAAGGAGGACGAAGGCTGCACTTGACAAGATTCGACCCCTGGGGAAGTGATTGAAAAGGGAACTAGGTGCGGAAGAAAAAGAAACACTAAAGATCTTCAGAAGGTTAGAACCGGGTTAGTAGTCAAGTCTTCATCTACTACTGGTCGATAGATAGTTCAATTTCAGACAGTCCTAAGAGTAACAACTATCAAAGCAGCCTCACTGAGGCCAAGGCAGTGTATGGTGATAGTACAAACTGTTCGTATCTCACTTGACTGCATAGTTTATGAGGCAAAAACCCGGGCTGGATGGAGCAGTAGTATACTGTCATGATGAGTGATGTTTTTATAGTACTACTTGAGTTATGGACTATCTAGCAACTGTCAGGATATTCCCCCATCAAGAGTTGAGATAGTCGCAATACCCTACGCCCTCAGATCGAGAGACCGTTAAGCAGGAAAGCACGAGAAGGCAAGGTGGTTGTCTCCGCCGGAAAAGAACACGCCTTTAGCGTTCATGAGAATTATGCATCTCGTAGACCTCGTGACAATGAGTACAATCATCATCATAGTATTCTCGTCGCTCTTTGGTAGCATAGGCTCTTGAAAAGCCAGTCGCAGCCGCATAGACGATGTTAAGGTCTCTGGATGCAGTAGATAAGGGAAACCTTAAATGGCCCGGATTCCCTGTACGAGGCGTTCAAGACAAAACTATGTATCCACGTAGACCCGCGTGTGTGTTCGTGCTTGAGGCTATTGGAAGTAATAGCACCAACACATGGTAGAATGGCAGCATTTGAGCATGACGTAGTCCGGCCCTACGAAGCTGACTGTTGAACCTCTTATCCCTATCCTATTCCACCGCTCGACATCAAATACATTTACTGATATACACGATTTAAATCGTAGAAGCAACGTACATTCATGACCGAATCTAGTCATGGATAAAGCAGGGGGAGAAGTGTGGGCTAGCCCGCTCCATGGTCCCACAAAACAATGAAGACAAAGCAATGACATTTTAGGTGTGTATTTCTTGCAATTATTAATCCACCTCAATCGTGCCTCGAGACAAACTGGAGGCTGGCTTGAAATTTTGGGATAGTCTTGACAGTGAGGACTTGCTTTTGGTTAGCCTGACCTGATAGATTCGTACTGTTCTTGGTAGCTCCGGACGGCGTGAAATCAGCCATAGAAGCTCTCCAACCTCGCGTCGGACTGAACCTCGGCTTTGAAGAATATACGTTGATAGCTACAAGATCTGGAGGGTTAGGTTGGTTGACGTTGAGTTCTCAACCGTGACATCTGTTGCCATCTGCATTATCACTTTCATTGAACCTAAACAATCACTCCATCGGTGGACCATCCACGTGATCTAGGCTGTATGTGTCTCAGCTTGATAAGAGTTCAGCTGCAGGGCAGATGGGAGGGACGAGCAACTAGAAATACTCGGGACATGGGGCAGTACGGCGGGAAAAGGCATGGGCACCGCCATCCATGTGGTTGTGCTGAATCCGTGCTGACGGCTCGTGCCGGGGTGTCGAGATGATGGTGGCGACGGCGGCTTGACGTGCATGAAAACGGCCACGCGCTGACGACCGGGACACAGATGCCACCTCTAGGCTCGCCAAGAGGCGCCATCGTAGGGTAGGCCGTAAGGTCCAAATTAAAAGCTCCTTCGGCGAAGCCAAGCAGCGTGCCAAGGGCCTCGATGCTGCTGGGTTGAGTCTATGACTGACCTCCCGTCCCTTATCGTGCCCCGCTACATGGAGCCTTCCATGGCCATGCCACAGCGAGCGAGTTGCCATCGATAGAAGCTCAGGTCTTGGCGTGCGTCGCCGCTCGTACCGTCATGTTCTCCGTTTGCTAGGGCCAGCAGCGATGCCCTAGGATTCGAGAACACTTCCAAGCTGCCCACCATCTTGGCCTAGATCGCGTCGCGCCCTTGCGCAGCTGAGCCGGGGTTCGATTATCTAATAAGCGACCTCGATAGCCGGCATTAGCGGAGGTGAGGATACGACGCTGGAAAAGGCCAGAGGCACGACTAAGATTGTCCTGGAAACCCGACCTTCGAGCGCTAATCTCACCTACAGGCGTGCCGTAGCAAAGGCTTCGCTGTTAGTTCTGCTCGGCGATAGCATGAAAACTTTCGGCATCTCTGGCCAATTACAGTCGCATCAATGCAAGGGTGTTGTTGGGCGAGTAGCTCTACACGTCGAGCCGCTCATGGTCCTTTCCTCTGAGCACGTGAAAATAGTGTCATCGAAGGTCGCCGTTATTCTTTGGCCGGGGTAGTGCTCCACCACTATCCATCCAATACCGGTCTACTCTCATCCATTTCTCACCCTACCGTACACTCTAGTCATCATCCAGGTCATTAGAGCCACCAATCATGATGATATTTTTGTCGTGACCGGGTTCAATGCTACCAAGTAGATAGCGATCTTGAATTATGACTCCTATATCAACAAAGCTTAGCCCTCTCATAGCTAGCAACAAATCTAAATAAATGTTACGTCTTCCTCTTACCGCTGTCGTGCGCACCCAAGTGTCAACCTACCTGTCAAGATGACCCAGCCAACACCGCAAGCCAGCAATACCGTTGTTTTTATCTCCTACACCGTCTTCCTGTTAGTTAAGTGGCGCTAGCCACCGATACCGTGTTGATCAATCGCAGAATTTTTGGACTACTCATCGCCTGCAAACTGAGAAATCAATCAAAAGTCCGAGGCTCTCACTCTCACGCATGGCTATCATCAGGCTGACCAGAAATTAGGCAGAATGGCTGTCTGGGAACAGAACCCAATCCGGTAGAACCAAGCTTGTTTATCTAAAATCTACTACCAAGAACCTGCTATTAATCATGATATAGCTATCCCTCTGGCTCTCAACTTCATCGCATCCGGTGAGTGAAGTCTAGAATTGTCTATCCGCACCAGTAAATCGCAACCTTGAATACTAGACTTCGAGTTATACAACTGCCAAATAATCCATGTTGAATTTCACGCGGTGGAGTGACGCATGAAGAATTTCGCGTTAACATGTGTGGTCTGAAACTTCAATAACTCTTAATTATCTCATCATTTTGGCCAGAAAGTCTCAGTTGGGAAAGGTTTTCGGGACTAGCGCTGCCCTTGCCACGAGCCTCATGTCAAAAAAGTCTTTTTGATGCTCCTTTCCTGAGGATCATTCATCTAGATCGCCGTGTCTGAGAAAGCATCTTTCATTCTCGTCAAGGCTGAGACTAGCATGATAGAAATTTGCTGCGTTTGCCTTGACTAATTCAACCTTCACTATTGGAAACGTTGCTAACATCAAATCCCATTCCTTTCATAGCACTGGGGTCTGGAATATTGTTTAGTTACCCTCAACTTGCTACAATTGCAGGCGTGCAGGGAATGGTTACATATGCAGTCACTACTTCAGCTCCTTTGTTGGTCTTTGCGTACCTAGGCCCTGTCATCAGGAAAAAATGTCCAGACGGGTTTGTCTTGACAGAGTGGACTCGCCAGAGATATGGAGTAACTTGTGCTCTCTATCTCTCGTTTCTCACACTGGTGACTATGTTTCTCTACATGATTGCTGAGCTGTCCGCTTTGCACCAGATTACGACAGCTCTCACTGGGATCAATGGTCTGCGCTTTGTACTGATTCAATGTGTTGTAACAACTATCTATACCTGTGAGATAATCCTTCCTCCCCCTTCTTGGGTCGTAGAATACCTTCAAGCTGAATAATACTAGCTTTTGGAGGGTTTAAAATTTCTTTCATCACCGACAATCTTCAGGGCACTATGGTCATAGGACTCGGTACGCTGACGCCCTTTTTCACCGAGTTAATCATTACTGACTAGAATAAGTCGTGATCGCGTCCTTCAGCATTGCCTTTGAAACAAAACTTGACCACAATATTATTGAGCACAGCGGTCTACTCAAAACAAGCCTCCTCGGATGGCAATTACTTTATATTCTTCCTGTGGCAACCTTAACAAATGACTTTTTTTTATCCAATTTTTGGATTCGCACGTTTGCCTCCAAGACAGACAAAGATTTGTGGATTGGTGTATCGATTGCGACTGTTGCCGTTATGCTCATACTGCTACTGGTCGGCTCGACTGGTTTGATCGCCGTCTGGACAGGAGCATATGACCCATCTGACCCCAACCAGGACGGTAGCATCGCTTTTTTCTATCTTCTCGAGCATCTCCCATCGTGGTCAGTTGTGTTGGTCCTTGTTATGGTTGTAACTCTTAGTACTGCAGCTTTTGATAGCTTCCAGAGTGCCATGGTCTCCACTGCGTCTAATGATATCTTTCGCAACAGGCTAAATATATGGTGGGTTCGCCTGGCCGTCGTTCTGGTTATGATACCTGTTGTTCTCATTGCCCTCAAAGCACCTAGTATTCTCCAAATATATTTGATTTCTGATTTAATTTCTGCTTCGACTATACCGGTGCTTGTATTGGGGCTGATGGATCGTATGCACTTTTGGCGTGGATTTGAGGTTATTGTTGGAGGAATAGGTGGCCTTTTCACCGTCTTCCTCTTTGGCACTGCATACTATGGCGATACACGGCGGGGGCTGCGGCTTATTCTTCTAGAAGAGGGTCTGTATGCCAGTGACTGGAGTGTTTTTGGCGCCTTTGTCGCAGCTCCTATTGGAGGTTTGTTGTGGGGCGGTTGTGCTCTATTTTTCAGGCTGGGCTATAGATTAGTGATGAGAAAGTCGGATAATCTCCGAGACTGCTTCACTAAACGACCAGCAAGTTCCATACCCACAACTCCAGGCTCAGTGGCTTAAATATCTGAATTCAAAGAGCCAGTCAAAATTACATGTTTATTCCGCTGAACACAGTTTTCTACAAATTCTTAGGCACAACTAAAATTACCCTACAGGCCCTCTGTAAAGAACAGGAAAACCAAAATTGGTCAGTACTATTATTCTGATATTGATTTAGGGATTATGATAGGCAATGGCTTCTGGGGAGCTCGGATGAACAATTACCCGACATATGCTTCTACTCATGACTGCACGTAGCCAACAACTACACTTTGCATATCAATCTGCACGATTGATAAGGAAAATAATTATTCGAAAAGTAACACACAAATCATTGGAGATTGTGCTTAGCTACTGTTAAAAATAATCATATGCCAGGGTTTTATCTTGTCCGTGAGACGGTGAAAGGCAAAAGATACGCTTGTCGTTCTGATCTACAAGTTTTTGTAGCACTAATCCCATTTTGCTAGTATTTGTCTTATTGCCTTCACTATTTCTCGTATTGGAAAGCCACATCAAAGCAGGGCCGCAAATTGAACCTCAGGAACTCTAGGCTCGTCTCGGGCGAGAGGTTTCACGAGGGCTCAATAGTTGCTACCAATTGTTTCCAGGTATACAAATAAAAAGGAAGAGCAATATCATCACTAAACATAAAAATTTATCCCGACAGATTTTTGGGGAAGCTAACTTGAATTGCAATGCCCGTAGACGCATCTGGGATTCCTGCATCAGGAAAGCGTCTAAATGTTATTAAACCAGCTATGACTACTACAGCGACTACGAGTGCCCTCCTCCTTGTCATTCAACAATTTGGATCGCGAGGTCTGACCTTTGTAGCAAACCAGATTCTTCTTCGATATCTATCTCCCCAGCTGCTAGGTATCTCATCGCAACTTGAGCTCTACTCTATCACGGTTCTGTTCTTCTCCCGGGAAAGTCTGCGCGTCTCCCTCCAGCGACAGAGTGAAAGCGTCTATGACGAAGATGCGACCCCCTCGCTACTGCAAAATACTGTGACGGATCGCAATCTAGCTGGAAGAACGCAGGCTATAGTGAACTTAGCCTACGTCTCGCTTGCGCTCGGAATCTTCGCCGCTCTGGCTCTTGGCTTCCTATTTTTGGGGCGCGGGAGTGCCAACGATTCGCCTATAGCCGTATTCGCCTATATGAGGTGGTCACTCGTGATCTACGGCATAGCTTCGGTTCTAGAACTCGCAGCCGAGCCGTGCTATGTCGTGGTGCAACAGAGATCCCAGCATGGCATTCGGGCCATCGCCGAGTCACTGGCTACGCTTGCTCGCTCTATCGTCACCTGTGCCTCAGCCATCTATGCCGTCCGAAATGGTGCCGAGGTCGGGGTCTTACCCTTCGCTCTTGGTCAACTCGCCTACGCCTTGTTTACATGTACTATTTATTATCTGCATGTTATCCCTTTATCATCAGCCGGCGGGTTCTCTCTCCTCCCCAAACCCGTAAAATCGTACGTACCTAAGTTTAAGTTAATCCTTTGCCTAGATCTCACTAAGTTCTTTGGTTTATTAGAAAACTTGGCTCCAATGAATATGCATTCTCATATTTGTCTATCTCACTCTTAAGTCTCAGTCGCAGCTTCTTTGTTCAGTCCCTTTTCAAACATATTCTTACCCAGGGGGATACCTTTATTGTCTCGGTACTTTCCACCCCACACGTCCAGGGCGTATACACACTTGCCAATAACTACGGTGGCCTTGTGGCTCGCATACTTATGCAGCCGGTCGAAGAGGTCAGCCGTAACTACTTTGGCAAGTTACTATCTTCCTTGCAAGTTCCTCCTACACGTTCCCGCATAGCGCAAGCAGTCCTTTCCTTGCGCCAATTGCTGTACTCGTATATCGTCTTATCTATCTTCGTTGTCGCCCTCGGCCCCACCATCGCACCCTGGCTCCTCCAACTTGTGGCAGGTCCCAGATGGATCGCTGCAGGTGCTGGTCGCGTACTTGCGGCCTACTGCTACTATATTCCACTACTCGCTATAAATGGGATTTCTGAGGCTTTTGTTACCGCCGTCGCTACTGAGCCCGAGCTGCATCGGCAGACTGCATGGATGTTTGTCTTCTCTTTGGCATTCGCTGTCATAGCTGCCCTTCTTCTTAACATCGGAAAGCTCGGTGCTTTAGGCTTAGTATATGCAAACTGCTTCAACATGGTCGTCCGCATCATCTGGGCCACAATGTTCATCCAGTCCTACCTCAACCGATTGGGGACTGAGATGAGACTCGATACGCTCGTTCCACGGCCACTAACCTTAGCGGTGGGCGCCTGTATGGCTGCGGCTATGATAAAAATGAAAGAGGTTCCTGAGGGTTATCTTGATTGGTGCAAGTGGGGTATGTTCACGGTTGCGTCTGTTTCAATCATGTAAGTATAAGTATTACGCCTCTGATATTTTAATTATTGACTAATATATTTTCTAGCGCAACGTCTGAGAGAAGGCACTTAGTAGAGTGCTACCATAAACTCCAAACCAACCGAGGATAATTTACTTTTTAATCAAACTTAATTTTTTTGGCCGTCTGCGTCATGTCTACATCACGAGCGAATGCACCGTAGGCATCATGCTCCTTTCTCTTGACTGTTGTGCCAAATTTTAGAAGTGACTCTGGTACTTCTTGCTTTGCAGCCTTGAGAACATTTATAAGACTGCCTGAATGATTAGCCTATCGATTCTTGATCTATAAGTTGTATGAGAGTACGTACGCTCCTGAGTGGGCTTTATCATGCTCGGTGAACAAGGTAATGGCAAGACCTTCCTTACCAGCCCTTCCAGTTCGTCCAATTCGATGGACATAATCTTCGACAGTTAAAGGAAAAGTGAGGTTCAACTAGTGATACTGCTTAGCATATCTTTTCGAGAAAAGGCATAAGATTGTGTGAAATGATGATTGACTTACAACTAACTTTACAGAAGGTATATCAAGTCCTCTTGCTGCCACATCTGTTGCTACGAGAAGAGGAGTTTTGCCGCTCTTGAAGGACTCTAGGCTTCTTGTCCTCTGCTCTTGACTCAAATCGCCATGGATGCCTGCGACACGGAATCCTTTTGTTCTGATGAAACTTTCGATTCTAGTTGCTTCTTTCTTGTACAGAGCAAAGACGATTATACGGTCGTCTTTCTGTGAGCCACTCTGATGCTCTTTGAGTAATTGTAAGAGTCTGAATTCCTTGTTTCTAGGTTCAACTACTTCTACTTTTTGTACGATACGATTGTTAGCACGAAGGTCACCGGATGGATTATCACCAATCGCAATTTTAATCGGAGACTTCATGAAAGTTGACGCAAGCGCACGGACTGATTCCGGCCAGGTGGCTGTGAACATGAGAGTTTGTCTCTTAGCAACCGGTGGTGTAGTGTGAATAATTTTTTTAATTTCTTCTTCAAATCCTTTGTCCAACATTCGATCTGCTTCATCTAGTACGACGTAATTGACTCTTGATAAATCTGCACAGCCCTCGTTGATAAGATCATTTAGGCGCCCTGGTGTAGCAACGACGATATCAGCAGTCCTGAGAGACCTTCGTTGCTCGTCTTTGGATACACCCCCATAGACACAAACAGCTTTTATTCCCGAAGACTTGCAAAGTTCCACTATTTGTTCGTAGCTTTGCATAGCGAGTTCTCGAGTGGGAGACACAATGACTGCCTTAGCACCGTCAACTCGCTGATTAGATGGAAGAGCCAAAATCTTTTTTAAGCATGGCACAGCAAAAGCCATCGTTTTCCCAGAGCCTGTTTCTGCTATGCCAATAACATCACGGCCAGAAAATAAAAAGGGCCAGGCAGCAGCTTGAATTGGGGTAGGTGCTTTAAAAGTTTTAAAATGAGCGAGGTGTGCTGGATCTGAAAAGGGGAGGTAGGCAAAATTAATCAAGGGCCTCAAAGACAAAGTTTTCGCTAAGGGATCGGAAATTGATATAAAATTTTCTGATAAAAAGGTGTCGATGGCTGTTTGAGGAAGAGCTGATAAATCAGAGTGTTGTAAGTAAGATTTACTTGAAGAATCATGTTGAGCTGATGAATCAGTTATACAGGTCTCCTGAACTTTATCTAGACTACCCTCCTTTTTCTTCTTTCGACTTTTGGATTTCGAAGTTTCTGTCTTCACTTTCTCCTTTAATTCTGGTTTAGTCGTGTCCGAAGTATCCTTAGTATTTTCACTGATGATAACTGTGGCATCGTTCTCTTGAGCCGTAGCCGATTTTAGCTTTTTGAGGCGCTTCTCCTTCTTACGCGCTTTGCGAGCTTCTTCGGCACCTTCTTCCGTTGCCTCTACGGCTGGTGTCTCTCCTTGGGTAACAGTAAGGGCATCGTCTTGAGCTTTTTTCCGTCGTTTCTCCTTCTTGCGCGCTTTGCGATCTTCTTCGGCACCTCTATCCGTTACCTCTAATACTAATGTCTCTTCTTGGGTAACAGTAAGGGCATCGTCTTGTGCTTTTTTCTGGCGTTTTTCCTTCTTGCGCGCTTTACGAGCCGCCTCCGCTGCACCAACTGAGCTCTCGTCGGCAATATTTTCCGCCATAGAATTTTCGAGAAGCCTATTCCTACTTGCTTCTATCACAATGGGCGAATGAGGATGTTGGTGCGCTGCTTTCGTCCTGGCGCAAACGTCGATGATTTTTACGGCTAGGAGTGTCGCGAAAATTTCACTGGCTCCACGCGTACAGTCTAGTGTGCGTATGGACCGTGCACCACATGGCGTCTCAACTCGTGTAATTTAATACCCGGTATTTATCATTACATGATGTAACGGGTATTCAGCTACATAGCTATTACATATAATCAGTGATATGTAAATATTTTGCATGGCTCTGATAAATTTAGAGACACTCATACTCTACATTTCTTTCAAAAATCCCACTACAAGGAATTTTTGCTCACACAAACAGTTGACCCTCCGTGAGAACCCACCTAGGGGACGTTTCGTAACCTTTAGTTGTCCTATCACCATTCGTTATCCCTATACACCTGCAGCGGGAGAAATATGATCTAATCTTGCTGGAATCGAACCTGTGATCTTCTGCTACAAGTGGGATGTGTCCAAGATATCCATATTTACTCAGAAAACCGGCCATGATGATGAACCGCCGCACCATCCAACCATGGCAGTTTTTATAGTGTCGCCTGCATTCTGATTGCTCGATTGTTTTACATGCGGTTATCCAGCTATCACTTACGATTAGTGTTTATTTTTATTTTTTTATATTGGGTTAGATCCTAAGCTAATGCTCTGAGTCCACCTTGAGTCCAGAACCAGTGGAGCCGGTAGAGATCTCTGTGGTTTTTTCCACAGCCCATCTCATTCCGACCTCGTGAATCGCAATTGAAGATATAGCAGATAAAACAGAAAACTAAAACAAAACTTCAAAAGACAGAAGGTTCGTCCATGTTGGACCCAAGCAATGCACCCCTCACACATTCCCTCGCCCGTCCCGTCTCCCAAATGACTAGTTTTATCCATATACACCGAAAGCTCTGGAAAGATTAGCAGGTACCGTTGTTTAGCCAGTATTCTGCTCTAGGCTAGCAAGGCCTATAAACGGCTTTCTCGAGATCGCTGTTCCCTCAGGCTTTTTCTTCGAACTCCAGAACTTCGAAACTCAATCCCTTCGCCATGAAGACGTACATTTTAGAGGCGACGATTGCCTCTTCGGCCCTTTTGGCTGCAGCTCTGGCTTGTGCTTCTGCTACAAACTTCCCTTGCTCGAACTTGCGAATTACCGTGCGCTGCTCTTTGTCCACCGGTCCAGACATTCTGGGTCTGGTTAGGCAGTTCCGAGGAAAAATGATATACCAGTTGCGAGTAGACGCACCGGGACGGCATACCCAGTGTAGCCGCACGTGTAACGGCTCTACTCAGATCACTCTAGCGATCTCATCAGAGATCCACTCTAAGTTGGCAGTTTCAGTGCCCTTAAGTGCTTGGACCTTCACTGGCATATTGCCTATCTGGAAGGCGGGATGGCAAGACTGAACACCTTTACGCGGTATCCTCTACGAACCTGGGAGTGAAATATTCTCCCAGAGTCAATTTCAGTCAAATTTCGCAATATCAAAGAAGTTGGCCCACGAGGCAATATTCAAATTACTCCTCCATGTCGTTTTTCCGCTCCCGACGAGTTTAATGTCTACCTAAGTCCCATCAAGTCTACAAGTACGACCAAGTTCATCCTCATCCCCATGACCACACCTCTCTCCGACCTTCTCTGGCCTCAGTTGACCACCAAATACAGGCCCACGCCGATATTTATACCCGACGGAGGAAGCAAAGTGTGGCTCACAAATCTGGAAGACAGTTCTTTGAGATGGACGTGAGAGGGACCAGGATAAGTTTACAAGATGATGCAAAGGAAGGACTTAATATCGACGGGCGTAAAATTCCGAAGTTTGGCAAGGAGTTTTACGAATTGAGCTTTGTGCGCGCCAAGAATTCGCTTGTGAGAGTGCAGCTGACACTCAAGAAAAACAAGCAAACAATGGAAGGTGTTGTGGTCCGCCTCCTAGTGATGTTCTCCGGTATAGTTTGAGTAGCCTGGGCATATACTCCACTTGGGAAGGAGACATCTTAGATCAAATTTCGCGCGGAGAAAAATCGAAAGATGATGGAGGCATGTCTGGATAACCCAGGGTTTTTGAGACGTTCCCCTGAGTGGGTATTCACGATTGAGGGTTGACTTGGGGTGAAGAAATAGCCACAATAACTTCGCACTGATATTTGCAAATGAAATCCGAGGCATGAGTGCTCTTCCTTCACGTTGAATTATCTTTTTTGTACTTTTCTTTGATATTGTGTTATAGCTAGATAGCTGCATATGCAATTAAAATCTGATGCAAAAAAGAAAGATGTCTGCTGTAGCCTTGAGCCACACGCGATGCCCTAGCCTCGACTACCTCGTTGTCTCATATCATAACAATCATTAGCTTCAATCTGGACGAAGAAAAGGGAATTAAGGACCAGCCCCTCTGAATTCCGGAACCTATTGTGCTAGCACATCTTCTTAGGAAAGATACGTGGGCCACGGTATTACGTTGTAAATGTTGACTTGAGAGCTCTAATGCTACAGATGAAGTCTATGTACTGATAGCCAGGTCATGTGACCTGGCTAGCTTAGTTTACATGAGTAGGTGGCATAGTTCCCCTTGACACATCTCATACCCGTGATATACTGATAGAACCGTCCTCTTGTTGGAATGGAAGTTGTATAGAGAAGCGTAAGCTGTTAGGCTTGTATTTAATATCACCCAGTGAAGCGAATTGGGAGATTGAAGAGTTTGAAAACTATAGTGGAGAGTTCTTGATTAAACCCACCTAGTATCAGAGCGCTATTTAAACTAATTACTACATCGAAGTGAAGGAGACACGATTCACTTGTTTATGCTAAATAATTGGGAGGCTGGTCAATGTATGAGTTGTCATGAATGTGGCTAGTAATAATAAAACCTTATTACGTTCCGTATTAATGCGCCTCTTCATTGCCAAGTAGCGCCAATTTCAACACCTCTCACCGACTGGATCTGTTCGGCGGCCAGGGCAGTATGAGATGGCCGGTGATGTGTGAGGCAAGCTTCTAATTGCAATTGGGACAGCTCCTTGATCGGTCGTTGAGGCCCAGTAGTTTGTGGTAAGATTGAGATGGAGGACTGATATTGAAAAGAAGTTATTAGACTCTACGAGCCGATTGAAAAATGTAACATGAAAGTATATTATGCCTGTATTTTCCTAGTCCAAAGCACACCTCGGTATTTGCACAAACATCTCCTGGGGATATTTACATGTTATGACGGAGTGCACGAATGTCGTACCACAGTGTTTTAGGACTAATACTATCTAAAATATTGTGGCTCTGCTTGAGACTGCCCTTCAGACATCCGAGTAAATATACCAAACCGAAATAGCCCTCGACCATATACAATGGCTCATCAAACGACGTTGTTTGACCAGATGTCACAGATCAACTTTGGAAAGTAAACAGTATTTGTATGGATGATGGTATATTTACATTTCAACCTTGAGGCGATAGGTACCATATAATAAGCCAGATTTATATACAGATTTATTACATTCCAAGTTCTACCCTCCCAGGTCAGGTCACTTCTAGATGATTCCAGTTCCAACTCCAAGGTTATTATTTCTAGCAGCTTATCCGCGGTTCAGACTCAGTCTTACTCATGTAGGGACTTTTCTAGTTCTTTCTTCAGAGATTCTAGTATCTTCTGCAAGGCTTTTGCACCTGGCCAATCTCTGATGGTTAAATGCCTATACATGCCAGTTCTGGCTACAGGAAAATACCGGTTTTGTAGCCGGTACACTAGAGCTTTGCTATCCAGACAATTTTATGTTTGACAGAGGTCGTCGATCCTAAATGTGCTTGCGTTTATGCCTGACTTCGATTCAAATGCGACCCTCCCTGCCTCTCAGATATGCAGAGCATAGTGAGTTGTTACAACGATACCACTGAAAGGTACATAATTCGTCTTTGCCGCTCGAGCCATCGAGTAACTCTAATGTATAAATATCTCTGGCTACACGTGCATGTGCTATTAATCCTGGTTAATCATAGTAATTTTCATTTAGAACGGTAGGTTTTCCATCGTGGCGCAGTTTTAATTTTAGGTATTGGGTATCAAATACGAACAAGATTCTATGTATTTGGAGTTTAACTAAAAGAATAGATGTGCTTTCTCTCAGCTATCAGTCAACTTGTTTTGTTATATTTGGCCACAGGATAGGCACATGTATTGCCTAAAACCTTTTACATCGCAATGATATTTGCTAATCGCACTCGCACAAATCATCATGTTATTCATCACATAGTCCAGGACCATAGAACAGATGGCAACAAGCCTAATGGGGATGGCACAACACGCAGGGCTCGCCAAAAGGATTCTCGTCACTCATGCCCTCGGACGGAATCGAACCGGCAACCTCGTCATATCGGGGCCTACTAGTGACGCGCTCTACCATTGAGCTACGAGGGCTTGCGTTACAGAAAATATTAATGTATATAAATTATATTTACAAAGCTTGAGATGAAGGACACCTGCCACCAAGTAACTTTACCATCGAACAAATTGATGATTCCCTTATACCTGTAAATTCTGGTGGGTTAGTTTATGATACGTAATGTTTTCAAATAGGAGCCCGTGTCCAAGACTAATTAACAATTAAAATTGGGTAGAGCTCGAGACTAAAAAGACGTGGCTGATTAGTCTATAATATGGGACTAGCAACCTATTTAAATATTCCGCCGTATCATCTGAGGCAATGAACAAAGCACCATGAGCACGGCCGGGTTTGTATCAATTGGGATCTATATCCCTAGAACTCATAATATAGATCACGAAGACAGATTTCATTACGGTCTTATCCGAGTCTATGACTATAGAGGACTTCTAGAATCTACATGAAACTCCCTATATTTGAAAACGAGGACCAAAAACCCTTACAAGGAAACTCTTTGAACGTAGAGGTTAAGTTTTCTCGAAGAGCTAGGTTCCATTAAAATTAAAACATCAAAGAAT